CTAAGTTTCATAAATGCATATAGAATAAAAAAAATTATAAACCAATTTCAAACAAACTTTATTGGTTTCAAAACATATATACTAATGCTTATTCTAATGAAAGCTGATAATAATGGCATATTCAGTAAAAACCAAAATCCCTACATTTGTAATATCTACAAAACTAGCTCATTAACTGTCACTCTACAAAACACATCCTATTTTAGGGATACATTTTGAGAGGTTTAGACCACCCATAAACTGTTGTGTTCCTTTTTAAAAACAGTTCATGATAGATAATGATGAGGTAACAATATTATCAACTTTAATATTAATTACACATATTTTAATTTGTATTTGCAATCCAAGCTATTGTAATAATTATTATGACCCCCATTATAGCATATTACTGAGATCAAACACAATACTAAATTAATAAATGGAGAAATTTTCAGAATTTGCAAAAAAAATTGTTGCTTTACATTATCTTCTTAATGAAGTTCATCTGGAAATTCAATGACAGACGTTATCAAGCAATAGAGTTTCAGAACAAAAAATAAATTAATACCAGAATGATATCAGCCTAGGACAACAAACTTGCTTTAATTTGAAAAATTCCTTAATGCAAACATTACTCTGCAGGAAAATGTTTACTTTTTCAGAATGGAATTGCAAACTGATATCACACTAAATGTCTTTCCATTCAAGTAATAGTAATAGGTGACAATTTATACTAATTTTAGTATTTACCATATTTTAATTTCCAAAGGTGAAGGTCATTCAAAAAAGAAACAAACAGTAATTGCCTGCTTAGAGAGATTCATATTTATTGAAATAACAAAGTATGGAGGCCTCCTTTTTAGGCACTTTGTTTCTTTTTAAGTAATTTTTTCAAAATAATATTTTTTTATTATATAAACTTGTTTCTTCCTCATATTTATTTAAAAATATGTAATGGCAGCAAACCAGCATGCATTAGTTTATTTACCATCAAGTCATGTGACAATTCTCCAGCCATACAGATTATGTTTTATAATAACACACCCACATAGCATCTTCACCTATCAAGTACTTCCCAAACATTCAAGATATTTGTTTATAAAATGTTCTAATGTAGTACAGTGAATTGTATAATTTTATATTATGTTATACATATTTAAATGTATTTAATAATGCTGTTATAATATACTATGCATGTTTATTTTTTTCACATGCATAATAGTTGGAATATAACGCAAGTGTTTGTTTATATATGCGGATTGATATAAGAATGTGTATTGAAAACAAATACTGAATTTCCTATTAAAAATGCTGTATAAACAAAAAACATCCCTAGCTCAAGAAATCTTTGTTTAATTTTAATGAAATTTGACACTGCACAATTGTATCATTTAAGCTGCATCTTAGAAACATACATACATACAAGATTTGAGTTTTAGTATTATATACAAAAATTTTAGAAATTGTGCTTTTCTGATACAATGTCTGCTATAGAAGAGTTTTTATACAAGCTTGAAATAATTGTACTTTTTAATAAAATATCAAAGCGTTTGAATGATCTCTACTTCTTTTTCCATAAAAAGGCTCAGGTGTGTGACATCTCCTTCAAGGGAAACTTAAAACCATGCTAAGTCAAAAATTAAATTCACACTGATCTAGCTTTTAACATTTTTTTTTTCTTTTAACTTTCTATGAACCTCTTGATATGGATATATTTTAACATTTAAGTGAGTGGGTATTGATTACAAAGTTATTAGTTTCGTCTGAATTTTCTTTTAGTGGAGATAGGGAATTACCATTATTATATGCCTTGCTATTTATATACATATCGGTCGTGATACTCAATGTCTCAGCCATTGTACCCACTAGTCTTCATTGGTTGGTAACATTCTTGGAGTTTTGTACTGAACCCTTTATTCACAAGAGTAGATTGTTCTCATTCCAGTTTAAAGATATTTCATATTAGTTAGAACCCTACTTCTTCTATATACTATGTCCTCTCAGGATAGTGATTTTCCAAGCATTGCTTAGATGTGGCACAAGGCCGAAAGTAGGGGGCACCCATTGAGGATCGAACTCACTACTCGGTCGTAATTGTTCTAGCAAGAGAAGCTTTCTAACCATTACACCGCCTTGAAGTGCCCCTATGTCCTCTCAGTATATGTGTGATTGTGGATCTCTATAACTTCATGTCCTTTGTAGTCCTTAGTGAAGGTTGTCTTTCTGCTATATCTCCTAATCCATGTTCAGCTAACCATTTACACAAGCTCATTAGGAAGGATATGTGCTGATTTCCTCTGTTCTTCTTGTCTTCAGTATGTCATGTGAGTATCAAATTTTCCAAGGCCTCTTTCCTCATTATGTGTCCAAGAAATTTCAACTGTCTTTTTCTGATACTATGGAGGATAAATGTCCTTTTTATTTCCATTTTTCCTACAACTTTGCCATCGCTCATGTGTTCAGTTCATAGTATTCTTAGTATACTTCTGTAGAACCAAATCTCTTCTTCATCTGGAAAGAGATTGTCTAGCATTTTCTGTGTTATGATAAGGGCATGGTGGCAGAACAAGGAAACAATGAAGGTTTAAAGAAATAAACAATTGTATTAACGTAAAATACAACAAATGGTAAATTGGTGTTGCTGTCTCTCATTGAAAAAAAAAGAGCTAAATGGAGTTCTGAAGTGGACAGAAAAAGTGGGAAGATGAATTGTGACTTACTGGGGTGATGGTCTTTGGTGAGCTGTCTCTTGGATATGGGAAGTCACTTTCCGACAAAGTCTGTGAACCCAAGCCAAGATGGCATCCAACTCAGGAGTGGGTGCTATTGGGTGGAAATTCTGGATTGTATTGCTTATTTTTTTCTTTGTGTGAATAAAAATGGAAGGTATGTGCAGAGCCTTGCACAATTGACAGAATTTTAGTTCAGTTTTAGGTGTTTAGAGCATTCACACCAAACCAGTGATGGAAATTAGTGTAGCATGAATTAGAAGATGATCTGGTTTTAAAAAGAATGTAACATCTGCCATATAGTAGTACCAATATTACATAACCATTCAGTCTCTTTTCTTTGTTTCCAATGAAATTTTCCTGTTTCTTAATACTTTAACTTTTTAAAGGCATCTTTCATTATCCCAATGCACTTTCAGATGTCAGTATTACATTTTCCATCCTCTGTTAAAACAAACACTTCCTAGATATTTAAATTTATGCACTTGTTTAATTTTGTTTCCTCCAATTTGTAATTCAAATGTTGGGACTTTTGCTGATGACCATACATTTTGACATTTTGTCTTATGTTTAGTCTTTTCTTCTTGCATTCCTTTACTTTCCTTCTCTAGGTGTTCCTGCAGTTTCCTTTCAGTATTTGTTATCAACACTGTGTCATCTGTATATCTAATGTTCTTAAGATTGTGGTTGCCAATAATGAATCATGGTAAGACTTCTGATTCTCTCAGGATTGCTTCACTGTAAACATTGAATAAGTCTAGTGAGAAAACATATCTTTGTCTTACGCTCGTTTTCCATTTTTGTGTATTTACTAAATTCATTTTCTCTCCATATGCCAGTGGTTTGCTCCTAGTATAAGTTCTGGATTATTCTAATATTTTTTCCAAATAAATCACACTTACTTAGCACTTCTAACAGATTTTATGACATACCTTGTCAAACATATTTGCATATTCTATAAAAGATAGGCATACATCCCTTTGCATTTGTATTGCTCTTTCTTATATCATTTTGAGCATAAACATTGCATTCCTTGTTCCAGTGTCTTTAACTAAGTTGTACTGTTCTTGTCCTATTTCCAGTCAAATTTTGCTATGCATTCTATTTATCAGATTTTGGATAAGTTTTATTTTGTTATTAAGCTGATTGTCTGATTAAGTTTGCATACATTTTCCCCTGGTTTCTTAGGCAGCATTATGAAAATGGACCTACTTAGGTCTTCTGGCATAACACTATTGCTGTATATTTCATTTATTATGTCTGAAATTTTGCCAATGTCAAAATCATCTAAGGCCGCCAGCATCTCTATTACAATTCCCATCTGGTCTTGCTGCGTTTTTCTTGTTCAATTTGTCCAGTCCTAATTTCACTTCAGACTTTAATATTTCTAGTCTTTCAATATTTCTGTTTATTGCAGGTTGTTCTTTTTGTTATAGAAGAGTTCTTTGATGTATTCATTCCATCTCTGAAACATTTTTCTTTCTTCATTATCAATATCCCATCCTTGATTGATTCATTCATTTTCTACAGCCCACCAACCCCCTGCCAGCTATTTAAAGCCAGAAAATACTTTTAGAGTGTAAGAATTATTTAATAATAATGGTTTAGTGATACAAGTTTTACTAATTAACACATAGCTGGGGGAGAAGAGGTGGATTCATAAATTTCCCAAGGGTATTTGCAAATAAGTGAATATAACAAAATCCAACAGGAATTGGGACTCAGCTCTCCAAATTAACAATTCTCAGCCATTATCCATTAAACCACCCACACATCCAAGCTTACAGCCCCTGGTATTCCTAAACACTCACCCATCTAGATACTGACCAGGCTCAACATTGCTTAACTTCAGTGATAATATGGAGACCAGTGTTTCAACATGTGGCCATAAACAGTCTCATTCTTGGATTTTATGCAAGCTGTTGACAAGTATGTCTTTTGTCCTACAAGTTCTTTTATTCTTCTATATATTCCAATATGAAAACAGGCATATGATTTACAAATTATAAAACTTTGCACAAAATATTACTTTGTGCACTTAGAAAAGCTTAAAAAAAAGTAAAATTGTTCAGACAGATAACAAAAATATTCAAAACAAAATCTTACATCAAAGTCAAGAATAAATTTGGAATGTTTCAAAGTTTTTGTCTTAAAATAATTTAAAACAAGAAGAGGATTCTTGGAATATCAGAGAGTTCAAATTGAAGAAGAAAAAATCTTTAGGAAGTTCCACTGGAGCAGTTGAAAAGTGTGTAAAAATTTTGACACAACACCAATATCATATTAAGGAGGATGATCCCTAAGCAGGTAAGCCTATTCTAGTGGTGACAACCTCAGCCCTCCTCAGATTTTGAATTCAGTGTTGTTGTTTTCCTAGACTAGATGCCAACCAAGGCTAAAGAGCCCAGGCTATTTAACCCAAAATGGCTAAAAAAAAAAAAAAAGAAATGGATTCATAGCTTTCCTAAGAGTATTTGCGCAAAAGTGAATGTAATAAACTTGACTGAAATTCAAACTCAGCTCACCAATTTTTTGTCCCAAGCTGCTAACCACTATGTTATGGAAATCTCTGTTTGCTTTCAGCCTGGCAGACTGTCTTCTTAACTTCAGTCAGCCACAGTGATGCATCACACACACACACACATTTTCTGTCAGCAAAGAACAAACGTTTTTCTTCCTTTTTTGAGCTATCTGTAGTCATGTAATTATAATTTTCTCTTTCTCTTCTTTATGTCAGTTATGTTGTAATTTATATAAATATATGTATAAAAATTTGGATGAGTTTTTTACCCTCAGAGTCTGGCTGCCAATGCTGACTGATTTGTTTTGGATTTGTTGGCTTTTTTATCTGTCCTCCAACCAGATTAAATCTACTTCCAAATCTGTCTTACAAGAATTGTTTTGTGAAAACAACTCCTGAGTTATTTATAAAATAAGTTTACCCCTTCTTTAACATTTAAATTTTATAACACACTTATTGGTCATAAAATTTTCTAATGGCTGAAAAAATGTTTAGGATTCTTTCTTTTTCACATATTTTTTTAGTAAATGATGTAAATGTTTTGAACTATTTTTGATTTTAAAATATAATTTTCTTAAACAGCAGATATCTGAAGAAGGCCAAAACATTGTGAGAATAACAACCAAGATGAGCATGCTGGCCTGAATAGCACAAACTCTAATATTATTTTCATTCTTCTACAGTTTGATGTTAATGTGATATTTTTATGTTCACTACCATCTTTTAAAATAAAGAAAATGTTATCTTTGGTAAATTTGAGCAATAAATTGATAATGCAAAAGTTTTGGTAGAAATTAGCCCAAGTGTGCTAAAAAGACTCTTCACTCTTCAGTATCCACACAGACTACAAAAATGCTTGCTTATATGGAAAGGACCTTCAGTGAAGAAATAACAACTCTATTAACCTTAAAATTAAAATCTCAAAGATTTTAGACGCGTATCTTCATTTGACATTTCTGTTTTCAATGAAGCGTTGTGATGAAGAACAACGCTTCATTGTCAATATCTGAGACTTTCAAATTTAAATTTGAAACAAAAAAGAAAGGTACAGACAATTTTTAAAAATGTACCAGCCGTAAAATGAAAATACTGGTAAACAATTTCCTTGAGTAAAAAAAAAAAAAGAAATGCTTCATCTTAAATTTTAACAATTTTCTCGACTAAATTTCTTCCTTCAATCAATTGTATGAAGGGAGATAACTTCACAAACAAACTCATTTCGAGCAGATCATTATGACATTATTAAACGAATCGTTTTACGCTAAATTTTAGTTTAACGATTTTATAAACGAGACAAGAAAGAATTTTCTCCTGTGTTTCAATAATTTCTGTCGTTATTTTAATCCTAATTGAACCCCCCAAAAAATCACCGATGAACTAAATTTCGAAAATTTACTTTTTTGCCAGATTTAGTCTTTACGAAATAAAGAAGGAAACGAAAATGATTCTTCGAAATTGAAATGTCTTAAAAAAATATTCAAAAATACCTGTTTACAAAAACTCAAAACTGCAAGTCGTTATTTTTAATTCTTATAAAAATACGAAACAGGGAAGAAGAGAAGAGGCTGGAGAGCATATGTCATTTCAGAAAGACAATTCAACAATTTTGACAAAAGACAGCGTATTACTGCAAGTTTTCAATGAATTTTAAAAGCCAAAATTGAGAATCATAGTAAGAATTTGTTTTTATTATAAATCATCGTTTTAAAAGTGACAAAAATCTTTAGAATGATTTTAAGAGTTTATTGCTTAGAAAGAAAAAAAACTTAGTGTTTCTGATATTTTGAGATGAATTATTGGTGTTAGTTATTAATTATTTTTATTTATTTTAACAAAGAATTTACTTACGTCCCAGTTTGTAGGATTTTTACACGGTGTCACTCTCTTGAGTATCAGTTAACTAGTTTTATACAACAAAAAAAAAACACAAAAAACTAGTCCTAAAAACTGAAGTGAAAAATGTCTTAGTTTGAAAATTATGGTAAATCAAAAAAGATTGAGCTGAAAAGTAATTTCAGATTTTTAATTTTAACTAATGGATTTTTACAAAGATTTGCAAAGAATTTTTTTTTTTAATTACCAATAGATTTTCTTCATCGTGGGGAGGGCCTCTCTAGAAAATGACAAAAAAAAGGTTGTTTGCTTCGAAAGTTGTTTATTGTTAAGAATTAATACTTTTAGTTTAAGGCCACAAAAAGTATCTCTCTAGTCTAGTCACTAGTGAGAATCGAATTCGCTAACACCAAATTCCGATTAGTCGTTTGGGCGTAAAATTACACTGTATTTATGATAACAAGAAATGTGTTTATCATTATAGTCACAAACGAGGAAAAATAAATTCATCCTTTTCCTTACTTACAGTGAACAAATACAATAAGATTCACTCTTTGGCGGTGTTGTATAAAAATAAAATGAACTCAACACTATAATACACACATGCAAAAGGGGCGGGTAACTTAGAGAGAAACTTCAACAATGTAGAGTTATTGCCCTTGATATTACGGTTCCTTAAGTCACTTTATTTACTAAAAAATAAAAATGAAACAAATTTAAATTTGTAAAGTAGAAACCGATTTATTCTTATTGTTTCCATATGCGAAATAAAATTTACCCGATTATATGAAATTTATTCATCACAAATTCCGCTTTTTTTAGTGTTTTTAAATTTTTAAGATTTTAAAAAACTGGATTATTTGATTAATTTTTATTGAATTATTCAATATAATTTTTTTTTGTGTTCGCGAATGTTTTTTATTTTTTACACTCTCTGATTTTGTTGAACAGAATCTTATTTTGAGATTATTATTTTTCTCCTTGCTTTGACACGTAATGAAAAAGAGAAAAGACTTTTCGTTCTGAACGTACATAAAACGTGCATGTTTTTTGCACCTTCCCAACTAAGAGCAATAAATGAAAATATTTTTCTCTCTTCACGACACTGCAAGTCTATTCTTCCTCTGATTGAATCAGAATCAGTCTGATTCAGATTCATGTTTCCAGCATAGATGCACAGTGTGCAGTGTATGAGAATCCATTTGCAAAGAAAAGATTAACTCAAGGTCGGCGCTAGGCTCTCGATCCGCCTCGGAAACTTTCATACGGCTCTACATGTCGATTTCAAAGTTTCCCAATCTGGGTGCCACAACCCCCAAAGGAAAATTGGGGCGAAAGGGCAACGTTTTTTATTTTTTAATTACCAAAAATCATGGAATTATCCAATTTAAATGAAAATTTCAGTACATATTCATTACTTAATGAATAAGGTTGTTTATTCGAAAAAAAATCTGAGAAAATGTTATTCTTTTTAATAACCACCAATAATATTTTCATGATTAAATTTTACTTGAAAAAATGTCAAAAAAAAAAATGTTGCAAATTTTAACATTTCCGTAACAATTAACCGCCGATGCACCTCCGCTGAAAAAAAAAATGTTTTACGAAAATTCCAGCACAACACAAAAAAAAACTAAAAGGGATTGTAACGGTATTTCAGTTTTCGGTAAAATTTTTCATGTGTTGAATTAAATCTTTGAACATTTTTATTTTTTAAGCGATCATTTTCTTGATTTTCTTTCCAGAAATGTGAAGTGGCGACAGAAATTTTATTTTAATTACTAGCCGTGGACTTCTGGTTACTTACTATTAATAAAAAAAAAAATCAGAGATCCTCCTTACCTTAGTGGATGAGCTCGGAATAAAAAATGATTTTACCGAGATGTATTATTACACTCTTAAGTCTTAAATGATTTAAAAGAACTGTTCAGAAAGAAAATTACAATTTAAAAAATAATATAGAAATTAGGACTTCTGTCTCCCCCCCCCAAAAAAAAATATCCCTAGTAGACACGAGAGCTTCAGGGTAGTAAGCACCGGCCCTGTTGATCATTAGTTGATGACTGACAATATAACTAAGGTAGAAAAAAAGTAAAAAAGGCTGCTGAAAGTAACCCTTTTTGGTGCTCCAACCTCGTTGGGGGTTCCTGCATAGTACAGGCATGCAGATATACAATGTATATTATTAGTTAATGATGACTGACAATGTTTTGTAACGTCATTTTAAAAATAATTTAAAAAAATGGCGGATGGCCATAAAACAGTGCTGAAAAAAATATGGGAGAAGCCACAACAGGGTGAAAAAAAACGTTGACCATTCATTTCCTTTTTTCAGGAAAAAAGAAAAGTTTGATGATGTCAAATCAAGGGTTTTAACAAATCAGTGTACAACAACCACTGGGAATTTCAGGTTTCTCCCCATTTGCACTTTTAGTTGACTACAATGCAGCCTTGCTTTGTGATGATGCTAAAAATATTCTCTTTTCATGGTTTTCATTGAGTGCTTGCAAAAATTCATTGCTTTCATACGTCTATGAAATTAAATTGGTATGCTACATTCCATCAGTGAGCACTGCATCATATTTATTTCAGATTTAGTATCCTGAGCATTATTAATTAATGTCATCACAGCAAACCTTTGCAATTCCAATTTAGATAAATCACTAATTAGTTATAAGTTTCAAATCACACTCATGTTTTAATTACTTGTTATTTTATTTATTTATTTTTTACTATTATTTTGATAAATTTAGGAAAAAACTGTAAAAATTTCCTTTTAATTTTTTTATCTACTCTACTGGATAACAGCAGGAGTCCATGAAGAAACTTTTCTTTTTTTTTTTTTTAATTCAAGTTGCTTTTGTTCCAGGTTTTGTCTGTGGCTATAATGTTGCTAACAAATGTTCATGAGAATTTACTACAAAATGAGAAATACAAATCAGCAGCTGTGGTGAGGGGAAACTACCAATATTATCATTACTGCTGTGATGGCGTTGATGATAGGGTCAGTGTTTCTTTTTATTTATCTTTGTTAAACTTCATTGCTTTTTAACGAACATGAAAAAGACCTGAAAGGTACACAGAGTAAAAAGCTTTGTTAAAAATGTCCTCTCTCTTTCTCTCTATCATCCCATTCAGATAACACTAAAATTTAGTTGATTCTCAAAGTAACAGTGTTGTACAATGACAAAAGATATTTTAAGTGGTGTAACAGAGAAATTTGTCATTGTTGTCAGTTTTGAGTAGAAATATAATAAGACATTTGGTTCATTTGAGACAGTTTAAGCTTAAAACATTCAATATTTTCATAATCTTTATTGTAACAATTCAAAATATTAACCTGAAAAGTCATGTCCTTAAATAGCCTAATCAGATCTAGGCTCTCATGTGGATGTCATGCATAGCAACCAACTCATTCTGGACTGTCATCTATATGCAACTGTTTTCTCAAATCAATGATTAAAAATGACTTCAAGCAAAAGATTCCATTACGTCTTAAAGAAGAAAATCTCATCATAGATTGGTAATTAAAAAAATCACAAAGAATTTTACCAAATAACAAAAAACTAACAGTGACACCCACCGGCGGTCGCAGTTGCAGCGCCTGCGCTAATATGGGACATCCACTGGTCGTGACGTCAATATATTGACGCTGCACTGTCGGCCTGTGGTCAACTCCCAGTTGCGGTGCGAAGCTGTAAGGTTTCTTCCACCAGCGTTTGGGGTTGATTCATCACCGCCACCAGCCTGTGTCCCAGTCGATCTGGTCGTTTCCGGTTCGATACCAATTTTATCGTTCTCAGCTCACCTCCAACGCCTGGTCACCAAAGTAACTGCTTTGATCTCAAGTCTAACCTACCCTCATTGTGACTTTGATCTTAGGTAGACGAAATCAATCAGGCATCGGGCCGTAGTGCAAGCTGAATCTGGGGTAAAGGTGATACTGCACAAACGTAAGTAAAAGAAAATAAACAAACTCACGAGGTTCAAATATGTTGAAAAATAACAATTATCTTTATCTATCTGTTGAATACAGGAGTGTGTTTCTCTCCTGGCCCGTTTCTATGGATTTGTGACACTTTTTGCATTTCTTAAGCAAGTTATGGTATCTTAAGTCGTTCGTCAATAAAAAAACTTGCTTTTGGTAGGAAGACTAAGTCGAAAAGGACGTGGAAATTTCAGTCAGCTCCTGCGAGGCGCTATTCTCTGAGCCCAACAGCTTTCTGTCGATCTGTGTCTGCGTCTCCGATCTCCAACTCAACTCCACTCCTGAACGCCCGGGGACGTTCGTTTATATGGACACGGGCATGTCGTGGTTTGGGTTCTTTGACAATTCTCAATTCCCAACAAAAATTTTTTTTGTCCCCAGGGCAGGAAAATTTATTACTTCTCATTTTTGGAAGCTAATCACTTTCCCCCTCGGGGGTTTTCTCCCTCGATCGTGAGGAGAAGTCAGAGGAGAATTATCCTCCTAGACTCTTCCTCATATTGGTATCTCTTACCAATCCTCTTAGTGGGTGTCAACAACTTCCCTGCCTTTCTCATATGTTCACCTTTGCCTATCACTCACACCACCACTCAGCCAATGATCGCTCGGCAGTGTGGATGTGGCTAGACTTGGCCTTCTTAAAATTATCGTCCAAAAAAAAAAAAAAATTCTCTTTTCTTTTCTTTCCTTCTTTTCTGTTGGCCAGAATTCTTATGAATTCCACGTGGCCATAATTGAATTCTTATCTTATCCTGAGCCACCCAAAATCCACTTAGCAGAATCTCCACCAACTCATTAATCACTGCTAGTCAACCTTCAAACTGGGTGGTAGATTTTACTTGATAAACAAATTCTTTATTTTTCTTGTGTCTTAAAATTTTTGTGTCACCAGATGCTCATTTTCGAGTCACCATGTCTGACAATAACAATGATCCCCTTCTCGACTCTCTCTTCTCATGTCAAGACCCGTATATACAACAGATGGGTCTCCTTGTTGGACACAAGAACCAAAACTAAATGATATCTCTGAAAGATAATTAGTGGCTATTCTTTTAGGGTGGTCTCACTGAAATTCCTTTTCGGTCGCATGCGTGGCCTGGCTTTGTTCTTTAAAATTCTGTTTTCTTTGGCACGTCACTATCTGATCATGACATTAATTAATTCTGACAGAAATCCGAAATCTGGTTTTCTCTTCTGGATTTTCTGTCTTCTGCGAAAAAGTATCTTTCCTCATAAATGAAATAAAATCTTTTCCCATTCATTTTTTTTTGTGTTAAAAAAAAAAAAAATGTCACCCAGTCTGTCTTTCGTTATAGCTCTTTCTCGCCTTAAGTATTTCTTGTTTTTAATTTCTATGCTTAATTAGTTAGCCAATTACCATAGCTAAATTGTGTTACATAACTAAAATGGGTAGCACGTGGAACTAGAAGGGAAAATAATGACTTTCTGCATTACCTTAAACAAAAGGTTAAAAAGGAAACTTCCATCACTTCTCAAAAGAGCAATAACAGTGGACATGGCAACCTATTTCCCTGAAAAACTGTTTATAAGAGAAAGATTTTTTAATAAAATATCAACTGACAGTTATGTTAATTGTTCAATGAATGAATGCTGAATGTTTGCTGTATGGAAATGGTTAATCTCACCATTATAATTACCATTACTGATAATCTTTGCTATGGAGTAGTGGTTAGCAAACGAATCTTGTATATACATACTACTGGGGCTTCACACTTGTTGTATTGTGCCAGACCAAGTATTTGTAGTATGAATATATATAAAACCACAACATATGACTTATTTGTCTGTGATTACTCTTGAACAGTTATTTCTTTTTACATATGTTTAGATCCATTTTATTTATTTTCTTCTCTGTCATATGGCAGCAACTGCGGCATAACTGTGAAGAATATAACAATATGTTTTTAAATTTAACTTGAATGCTGTTTGCTCATATAGTAAGTTTATTTGTCAAGTTGTTTCTGTCATGCATTCCAGAACAATGTTATTTTCTTTGTTGATTTGCAGGGCTGGGGTTGTGGATATCGAACACTGCAGACAGTGTGTTCCTGGATCCAACATCAGATTTCTGGACAAGACGTGCCCAAACTTCGAGAAATTCAACAAGCCTTGGTTGCAATGGGAGACAAACCCGATTCCTTTGTGGGTTCAAAACAATGGATAGGAAGTCTGGAAGTGGCAATGTGCTTGGATTATTTTTATGATGTTAGCTCATTAACCTTTGGTTTTTTCACACTGTTCTGAGACTAATGTTGACAAAAATATTGCACCAGTTTTTTTTATTTTTTAATAAATAATACATTAGAAATTAGATAATCTTTTATTTTATTGACATCAGTCAAGGTTGACTATGGAGGTAGCAGCTTTTTGCTGCTATTAACTGAAGTAGTTATAAGAGTTGGTTGCCAAATGCATACTGCCACTCTTCTTTATTGACAATCATTCTAACACTTTTGCCCCGGCCAATTCTCTCTTCAAGAATTCTCTCCCATCTGTCTTTTTCAGCATAACTATGCATTTATATAGATAAATAACTGGTTATAACTGACCCTCGGCCCTACTACTTCACACCACGATTATCATGGGGGTTCTGCTGCTTCAACCAAAATCATGTGAATTCCAAAGTTCCTTCTAGCTTACTCAGCTCTATTTCAATTTTTAATCGATAAAAATTATTTTGACCATTTCCATTGTCTTCTGATGACCCAGATTCAATGGGTACAACTTCTGCCCTAGATCAGATTTTCCCATCAGTAAACAAAATGCTCTGATTTAATTTCGCTATTCAACTCTACTCCAATTTCACTAAAAAAAAAAATATATATATATATATATGTGTGTGTGTGTGTTTCCCAGACTCTCCCTCTCACATCATAGTAAGCTAGTAACAAGACATTTTATCAAGTTTTTTGACAGTGAGAAGTGGATACATGCCTCTTGTAAAGGCATTTGTGTCAATGAATGTACGTTGATACAACTGAAGTTCAAATTCAGATGGCACCTTCAAATGATTATAAGATTAGCACTGTTACAATGATCAAGTTTCAATTTAAGTATTTAAAATGCTCTAAAAAAAAAAAAAAAATCTATTGTCCAGTCAAACCATTGGTTTCTGAATCATTTAAAATTATGTTCATATAAAAAAAAAAAAGGCTTGTCAAAGGGGAAATAACACCAGTTCTGTTACCTTCCCTTGATCTGTATGCACTCTTTACCATCATCCAGTGACAATACTTTAAATCTAACTAGTTTTAACCTGTGTAAATTTCATAGTTTCCTATTTTAATATTCTGATGAATCTTAATTCTTAATGATTGAGTAAGCTTATGGCTAGTTCTATGACAATGAAATATCTGTATCAATTTCTTTATTGTATCGATAAATATTTGAGCTTAACAGCTTTAACAAAATATTGCAATAACAATGATAAATATGAATGCTCATTGTTATTTTAAGAAGTGGGTACAAATGAAAATATCTGAAATTGCCAACTTTTTCCATTTCACTGAAACAGCTGTTAATCACTTCCCTCTTCCCTTCATTCATTTTCTCACTGAAACCAACTAGTGTCTTTTTCCCCTCTTTCCACATGGTCAAAATTAAATAGTCCATTATTTATGAGGTATTGACAAGGCATAACAGTCACATGAACTAACGAAGGGAGGGACAAGAATAATTACAATAGGATACTAATAAAAGTTTTGTGATATTTGCAAATAATAATAATCTAGTTACTACCCATGAAAAATGTACATGTGTATTTTTATTTTTATAATGAAACTAAATATTTACACATTTACTCTAGGAATTCTTTAATTATTTAATTTTTTTGTCTATGTACTCATATCATTTTCTTCATTCAGTATTTTGTCATAATTCTGCTGAAAATAATGAAACAGAAAACTCTTCAAAGGTTCATTATTTTATGACTGTGCTAGACATTAAAGAAATGAATTGTTAAAAAAATATACAAAGTAGTGACAGATTTTAAATTTCAAATTAATGGCTGTCTTGTGAAACTGTAATAAAAATGCAAAGTCATTTTTTTTTTATTAAATGACTTTATTGTATCAGTATTTTGGGGAAGAAATTTAACTAATTCAATTATCAAAAAAAAAAAAATTAATTACAAAACAATCACCATTGTTTACTGACATAACCAGTGGGGAAATGCTCAAGAGGATGATAGAAATAAATAATCCTATCATAGTAGCAGCAGGTGAACACTTTCACAAATACTGAATTTCATTGGTTTTTATAAGAAACCGAGTACCACCATAATGAGTATTTTAATTGCCTGTTTAACTCCAGGTCAAACATTTGAATTTCACTTTATTCTATCTTTGTTTGCTTTAGCATTACAAATTAAAGGGACATTGGCTTTTTTTTTTTTTATTATCAAATTCTGTAAATTTGGAAGTGACTTGACATCAGAGGTCACAAAATGTGGCATTTGAGTAATTATGAAGAAATGAAACTAAAGTTCTGTATTGCACCAGGAGGTTGTTCTCATCCATCCTTCAAATCTACCATTCTTTTCTCTTACTCTCTGTAACCCCTTGCATGTTAGTGGCACTCCCACCTTGCTTTGGGTGAAATGCTTAAAAAAAAATAAAAAAAAAAAATAAATAAATACTTTAGTAATGAAGCTGTCATCAGAACATCTGCCTTTAGTGAACTACCCAATAAATCACACAGTTAATTGGCTAAAAGACAATTTACTTTTTCTGGTGAGTATCCTTTATCCACAATCTGAAAGTTTTTCAGATGCTATGACTTGTTACAAATGGAAAATTTCAGAAGCCACTGGGAAGGTTCCTAGGTGATATGCAGATGTTGTAAGTGACCTCATCTGTCCTTGCTAGGAGTTCCCCAGCCCAGCTACATAGCAATCACCACAGCAACACCTTCATTTGTGTATTACTTACCAGGTGTTTCATGCTCAGTAAAGATATTCAAAATGTCAAAAAGTCCAGCATTTATATATTTTCTTTGTAAATAATGATCACGTTTTTTGTAAGTGTACAGAAAGTTCAAAAACCTTATTTTTATGTGAAATCTTAATTTCATCACTTAAAAATATGTGTGAGCATTATATGACTAGCATCATTATCTGTATATACACAAAAATGAATAAATTTTTATATAAAACTACTTTCAGGATATATGTATAAGCTGTGTTATGAAATGTAAAAGGACATTATGTTTATGCTTGGGTTCCATTCCTAAGCTGCCCCATTTTATAGATGCTATATACAAATTAAATAGCCTATATTTCAAAATCCCAAAGTAACTGGAAACCGAAGCACTTTTTCTGGTCCCAAGAATTTCTAGTCACGGATTCTCAACCTGTATTTAAATATTTTAGTTTACTTTTCTTCCGTTTTTCCTTTTTCTTTTCTAGAAAAAAAAAACAAGTGACACCTAAGTGCACACATGTATTTATGAGGATAAAGATGCTTGATACTGTATGATCCATATAAGTAATGAAGTGGCAGTAAATCAGGCTATAGTCTTAATTTCTCTTCCTTGCAGGTGCCAGGAAAAATCCTTCACATTTCCAATGGAGCATCAATTGGAGATTATCTTGAGCAGTTGGAAGAACATTTTCATACCAATGGCTCACCAATCATGATGGGTAGGCTATATTTAATTTGTTCAACTACTTAGATTACTTTGTCAAAAAACGGTTGACCAGCATATTTCTGAAGGAATGTTTTTAGAAAGCAATTTTGTTATTACAGTGCTCAATATCAAGAGACAGAGCATTAATCAATTTACATTGTTTGGACTATTGTCCTCATCTTCACTGTCACATTTATGACTTTTTGGGATCAAAAGCATTGATTGATTGATTGATTGATTGATTGATTGATCCCAAAAAGTGACTTGACCTAAAGAGTTGTGTGTCCCTAGCCTCAGCAGAGAAAACAAAAAACTAGGAGAGTTATCAAGGTGAGTTAACTAAAAAAAAAAACTGATATTCAAAGGCATGGTATATGGAACTAAAATAATCTATACCCGTGGACTAAATAAAGGGTTTGGTTCAAAATTCCAACAAATATCTCCTGAAAAAAGCTGAAGTGTATAGCATTAATGTAAAAGGAGTACAATCGCCTGAACAATGTAAATAGTGTAGTTACAATACCTCATCTCAGAAATATAGACAGATGTTAGAGCATTAATCATATTTTTTTTTTTTTACTTCTCTCTACTATAGAAACTCTGTGTGTGTCTCTTTATGTACATATATGAGTGAGTGAAAAAAAAAAAAAGAATGTCTCCCAAAAGTTTTATTTATTGAAAATTGGTTGATTAATTCCTCACAAAATAATTATTTCTTATAAAGCACTTAATTATTGATGCTTTTCAAAATATTCATTATAACAAAGTTCTTTATTGACATGAATAATGTTAAATACAATATTTTTTTTTTTTTTTTAATCCCAATTGTTTTATATTGTAATTCTGTGATCATTACTTACAACTTGTAAAAATAACTGGATTTTGATAAAAAGAAATAGAAATAACATGAAGGAAAAAAACTTCTCTAAAATTAACAAGGATTTTTTTTTAATCATTTTACTACTACTCTTTTTATTACAATACTGGGTAAAGGTGGAATAAAATTCAAAGTTGCAAAAGTTACTAGAATTCTTGAACAATTTCTTTTATTCACATATCTTCATAGCACTACTGTCAGTCATCAAAGTATTTTTCTCTTGTCTTTTTCATCATTAAAAAAATTAAGAAATTGTCTGTCTATATTTCTGAGATGAGGTATTATGTACATTATTCGGAGTATTGTCCGAATCTTTGTCGCCATATTTATTTCAACGTTTCGGCCATTGTACACTCCGGCCTTCTTCAGGTAGTTGCAATGTTGAACTGAACCCTTTATTTCATTCATTGGGGTAGACTGTTCTAGTTCTACGTGCCATGTTTAATGGATGTCGGTTATCAGTTATCTCCTGTTAATTTCCCTCTGAAAGTTCTCCACTGCCTTAACCGGGTATTGAACTCACTCTTACTAACACCTTTATCAACTGTGCCATGTGTTCTCAAGGACACATGGCACTGGATAAAGGCATTAGTTAGATCCAGTGACAGGACCCAAAGAGTGAGTTCAATACCCGGTTATGGCAGTGGAGAACTTGGAGTTGGGAATTAACAGGAGATAACTGACGTCCATTAAACATGGCACATGGAACTAGAACAGTCTACCCCAGTGAGCAAAATAAAGGGTTCAGTTCTACATTCCAACCACCTGAAGAAGGCCGGAGCATACAATGGCAGAAACGTAATAAATATGGCGACAAAGATGAGGACAATAGTCCAAATAATGTAGATAATTACGAAATTATCTGAATTTTTTTAAACCATTGACTAGGCAAAGAATATTGCATAGAGCAAAAACCACAAGACAGTCTGAAGATTGTCACAGGTAGTAGAACTTTTCATCCCAAGTTCTGAGATTTTCTAAAGCCTTCTTTCTCCATGAGCTGAGAATCTTTTTTTTAAAATTTGCAAACCATTCTACATACATGCTTGCATCTAATGCATCATTACCATAAATTTCAGTGATCCATTACCAAGCTTCCACTGCACTTGTTTTCCAAAAATTAAATGTAAATATACTATGATTTTCACCAAAATAAAGTAAACTTATTACTTTTCTACAGTCAATAAAGGAAATGTATATCTGGTCTGTATTTTAAAATATATATATGAAATATATTTTATAAATTGTCTACTTACGATTTTTTTTTTTTAAATCAGGTGGTGATGATGATAATTCATCCAAAGGTATTTTTGGAGTGAACAGAAGTTCTATGTCTCTATTGGTGTTGGTAAGTTTTATTAAATATGGAAATCTTCTAGGTAATTTTCTTTTTAATAATCTACTACTACTATGATAAATAAACTAGATATGGAAAAAATTGTTAATATTAATAAAAAAAATTATAAAAAATGTTTTTTTAATTTTTTTTTTTTCAATAATTAACTGACAAGAATGATTTTATGAAATTTTGATGCAAACAATCCTTTCTTTTCATTGTCCAAAGTTTTGGAGATTCATTGTGGAATTCATTTGACTCACTTCTAGCAGTTGACGATTTTTTCTATACACGCTGCTGGTGAATCTTATATGTGTTGTTCTTGTCCTAAGTGTTATCATTCATTACCAACCTTTGTATGGTTATTCTATTCAGTAACCTTCTCTAGGTTACATTTTGGCAACAAGGATTAGCCAAAATTACAACATTTTGGTGTCAAGGATTTACCCAAATCAGAAAATGTCACTATTACGGCATTTTGGTGTCAAGAATTTGGCCACTAATCCAGGAAATGTTCACCGGCACAACTTTGGCAAAAAAAGATATTACCAAAATTGCACATTAAAATTCACCAAGGATTCATTAAGAAAAAATCAAAATGGAAGATTTTAAAACAATACTACTTGAAATGGTCAAACGGCAAGACGAACTGTACAAACAAAAATTCGGAAAACTCATGAAAAATGTTGATAGAACAGAAAATGTTCACAAATAATAAGAATGAATATTCTGAAGACGCTATCATAAATGCTATTGCAGAATTTCACTATTTACCAGATAGTTAACTTTTTTGTCCAATTACTATAGATACGAAGACTTGTACAAGACTGATTTTGCAAGTTGGTCCAACAATAAAAAGGTCACTTTTGCTAAGGAAACTAGTTGCTGTTGAACACACCAAGTTCGTACACTATATATTACCAAAGAAGACTAGTGACCCAACATTTAAATAAATGGTTACTTTGCTTTTGGAAGTCAAAGATGGAAACATAGGAATTTAGTGAAAAATGAAGATGATGACTTCACAACGTTTGCAAGCATCGTGAACGGAAATTGTGAAAAGTTCAAATTGGCGGAATTAAGCCCCGACAATTTTAAATGCTTGATATTTGTGCAACAAAAGATGCTGAAATCTAAAGAAGGATTTTAAATAAATTGTAAAATGAACCCAATTAAACGTTGCAAAACCTAGCAGAAGATTGTCAGAAATTTATAAGATATTGAGGCAAGCGGTGTGTCAAAAACAAAGTAAAAAAGGAAAAAAACATCACTCCTAATCCTTGTTACACTTGTGGAGAATTACATTGGTAAAAAGAAACAATGTTTTTGGTGTGGGAAAAAAAGGCCAAAAAAATGACACTGTAAGGCAAAATTAAAAAAAAAAACAGTGAGTAATTACATTAAAATTACTAATGTGGATAAATCTCCTATAAGAAAATTTGTGCAGGTAAAAATCCCGAACAAAAACACCAGACCACAACTTGACAGTGGTTCTGATTTGAATATAATGAATGTTTATACATGGCGAATTTATGACGAATGTAACATCAAAACACAAAACCTTGAAGTTAAGACTTTTTATCATGAAAAACATGAATAACCTGTTTGGAACAGATTGGATGTTCAATTTATGGAACAGTACGATAAATTTGTTCTGCCAAAAAGTGAAAGGCTTTACTAACAAACCAGAAATTCTAAAAAAATTAAAAGCTAAATTCCCAGACATATTTTCTGGTGGGTTAGGCAGGTGCAAGAAAATGAATGCTGAATTTGAGCTATAAAAAAAAAAAAAAAAAAAAAAATGTGCAACCAGTTTTCAAAAAGAAAAGAAATGTACCATTTGCTTCACTAAAACAAATTGATGACAAGCTCAATAGGCTCAAAATAATGGGTGTTTTATCAAAGGCAAAATATAGCAATTGGGCTTTGCCAACTGTTTATATAAAGAAAAAGTCGAAAGAGATTCGTGTCTGTACTGATTTTTCCACGGGCTTAAACAATGACCTCAAAAGTTATCATTACCCACTTCTGGGGCCGGAAGAGGTTTCTGCACAGCTTAGTGGGTTTTGGATATTTTCCAAAATCAATCTAAGATTCCAGTAGACAACGAATGTTCAAGATTACTGACCATAAATACACATCATGGAATGTACAAATTTAATGGACACAATACTTAATGGACTGGACTTTGTAGTTGTGTATCTTGATGATATTTTGGCTGAAAAGTGAAAACCCTGACGAACACAAGAAAAATATTTTCAAGGTTTTCAAAAGAATTCAGGACTGAAGATTCAAACTGAAGGATAAAAAGTGTGAATTGTTTATGGACAAAATTAAATATTTAGGTCAGATAATTAACAAGAGCAGGTGACCAGATCCAGCATGTGCCAGTGCTATAAAGGGCATGCCTGCTCCTGTAAATGTCGGTACTCTACAAAGTTTCCTGGGGTTAGTAAGTTACTATAATGTATTTGTACCAAATATGCATTGCTTGCAAGCTCCATTGAATGAGCTTTTGAAGAAAGATGCTAAACAGTCTTGGACGACAGGATCCTAGGAAGCATTTGAGAAAATTAAAGAATACTAATGTCAGACTTGTTCTTGACACACAACAATCCAAAAAAAATAAATACTCGTAGCTAGTGACATAAACTAGAAGACGGCTCAATTAAACCGATTGCACACACACACATCCAGGACGCTTCTTCCAGCTGAGAAAAATTACTCCATGATTGAAAAGGAAATTTTAGGGATTTTCTTTGCTCTGAAAAAATTTCATACATTCATTCACAGGAGAAGGTTTACTCTACAAACAGATCACAAACTGTTGATAGCTATTTATGGGTCCAAAAAGGATTACAGACTCATAAGTTACAATGATGAAGAACCATTTTACTAAATTACAACTTTAAAATGGAACTCTTACCATCATTTAAATTAAGTCATGTGGACAAGTTGTCCAAACTTATTCCAAGGAATAATGAACCTTTAGAAGACACGGTCATTGATTCTCTACAATCGGAAGTAGAGATAAAAAAAAACATACTAAGCAATACTGTACAGGAACTAGCTGTGATGTTGGAAGATATAAAAAGTAAAGCATTGGAGGACAAATTTATTACTGAAATGAAGAAAAAAACAAAGACAGGACTAAAGCAAATTCAGGAGTACACTCAATGTGCGATGATGTTCTCATGTACAGTGAAAGAGTAGTGGTACTTTTGGCACTACAAAAGAGAATCCTGAAAGAATTTCATGCAGGATATCCTGGTATATCCAGAATGAAAAGCTTGATAAGTTACGTATATTGGTGTAGCATGGATAGAGACATTGACTGTCTGGTGAAATCATGCAAACGCTGTGCTTTGGCGGCTAAATCATCCCCAATTAAGTTCAACCCATGGCCAGAAACTGACCACCCATGGTCACATCTGCATTTTGACTTTGCTGGTCCACTTAATGGGATATATTATCTAATTGTTGTAGAGTTTTTCAAAGTAGCCAAAGATATTCAGATGTAACAAACCAACCACGCAAGTAATAATTCAGTTTCTACACAAACTGTTCGCAAGATTCGGAGTATCAGATTTGTTTTTGTCAAATAACGGCACTCAATTTACATCAAGAGAATTTAAGAAATTTTGCAAAATGTTTGTGGTAGAGCACGTAACAATTGCCTCTTACCATCCTAAAAGTAATGGCCAAGCAGAGCATTTTGTGGGTGCCCTCAAAAGGGCTCTAAAAAAAGCCAACAGTGGATCCACTGATGCTGCATTACAGCAATTTTTACAGGTGTATAGGCTTACACCGAACAGAAATGCACCTTCGGCCATGAATCCAGCAGGAATTATGTTTGCACAAAAAATACAATGTTTTTGACAAACATATACCCAATAAGAAAAAACATGATCATGCAGTACAAAAAAAACCTGAAAAAAAAATTTTTTATAAAATGGGTCAAAAGTTTTTTTACCAGATGTACCAGTCAAATAAAACATATGGGGAAGTCGGAACTGTCGTTCAAAGAATTGGCAGGATGGTCCATCTAGTAAAAGGTCCTGAAATGGTGCATAAGAGGAATAATCAAATTAAAAGTAGGTATTCAACTGAAGAGAACATGACTCTAGATGAAGTTGAACCTATAGAGGTTCTTTTTGCTACTTTCAATGTACACATCCCTCAGAAAACTCTGGAGATAGGAGTCTGAAACAGACAGAATAAAGGAAAAAGAAGGAAAAAATTGAAGTCAACCCAAAAAGAAAAAAAGAGTAAATTCAAAAAGGGGGGGTGTTGTAGCATACCTATGGACAATAATGGGCATGTCCCCATTCACATAAATGCAATAGTAAATACTGTATGTTGGTCTGCAGCTGGAGATTTGTCTCCAGCTGTGCTGGTCAAACTCTACACCTCTGGGCAGAGAGGATACCCAGAAGAGGTTATGTTGAAGGGCAGAGTCTCATCTTGGGAAACAGCTACCTGACCCTGTTTTATACAGGGTCTATGGGGAATTTTTGGCCAAGCCTATGTGCTCAGATACCCCACATTAAATTCACCCTTGTGCCACATCTGACCATGTGGAGCAGTTGGTAAATATCCTGCAATTGGAGATTCATTGTGGAATTCACTTGACTCCTACTTCTATGCACTGCTGGTGAATCTTATATGTGTTGTTCTTGTCCTAAGTATTATCATTCATTACCAACCTTCATGTGATTATTCTATTCAGTAACCTTCCCTAGGTTACAACAAAAAGACAAACAACAAATGTTCAGAAACCTCAATTTGTTTCAAGTCACATTTTTTGAAGGTTTTTCATGGGAAATCAACTGAAGAAATATTCATTGTATGTTGATCTGGTGTGGCTTACAATAAATTGCATGTTTTTTTTTTTCTTGAGATACTTTGTGTTTAAATTTTGTGAGTGAGTAAAAGTTTTAAAGATCATTAAACTGTAATTCCTATACAAAAAGAGAAAAATACGTGGATATATTTAAAGGTCAGTTTTCAATCTTGAATTACATTAATTTTTATTCTCATAAGTTTCTTGTAAAACAAGATTTTTTTTTTTGTTTAATTTGTAGGATCCTCATTACAGTGGGAAAAACAACCAAGTGAACCAACTCCTTAAAGAAGGCTGGGTTCAATGGAAACCTTTGACTTCTTTTCATGGAAAATCTTTTTATAATTTATGTCTCCCTCAACTGCAGGCAAAAAATAAAAGCCAAAAGGTCTGATATAACTTCTTGATGACAATAAAAATATTTTCTTTTCACTGTTGCATAAAGTACTTTAAATGTAAAAAAGATTTGTGTCTGTTTTATACAAACTAAGAAGGAAAACAAATGCATACCAAGTACTTTGGTAAGAAGTCTTTCATTAGTACTTTACCTGTTCCGATAATAGCAGTAAGAAAAAAAATTACCTCTTTTATAAACAGTGACAGGAACTTGTAAAGCATAAACTGATTTAAATGTTTTTTGTTTTTTACCTTTAGTTTTATATTAAACTAGCAGGGATAACTAGCGTTGCTTGGAAGATTTCTGAATAATAGTTTATTATTGATATTTTTCAGCCATCTTATAGAAAATAATTTTTTATTCAATCTTTAAAAAATAAACTTCATTGTTTTTTTGGTTTGTTACAAAATAATATAGGAAAAAATACCACACTACAAATACCACACCAAATAATAAAAATACACTATTTTTCAATTTGAATACTAACAGAAATACTTTGTTAATTTAATCATTTTTTCAAGCAAAAAATATAGCAAGCCTAACTTCGAAAAATAATTATTTACTATTTATCTTGAAGGGGAATTTAGAAATTTTTTTTAAGTAAATAAAGTTTTACTTTTAAATATTATATTAAAGAAGCAAACATTTCTCAGTAAATGAATTTAATTACTATTCTGAAAGAGTAGAAGCAAGCAAGATACATTGAGAATTTAGTTTTGAAAGGGATTATGTTTAAATTTCATGTTATATTTGTATTTGAAATGAAAAGAAAAACTTTAGTTAAATAAAAATTAGCAGAGAGAGACATGAGTTATCGTCAACATTAGTCATGTTGAATTTATCTAAATTTTATTTAAATTAATTTTCGAAAAAATAAGGCTCGCCATAGTTATTTGCTTTAATAAAACTTAATTTAAAATTATTTACTTTTTTATGTTAGTTACAAACCAAAAAAACCAATGGTGCTTAATTTTTAAAAATTGAATAAAAAATTATTTTCCATAAGATGACCAAAAAATATTAATAAGTCAATAATACACAGATACAAACAACTGCCCTTTAGGGTGATAATGAGTCTGTATATACAAACTTCTCATCAACGGACTAAGGGCGGGAGGAGGTCTGTTAAAGTCAATTGTCCATAGATGGGAAGGGATTATTTTTGAGTTATAAAACCACTATATTAACTACCAGTAGTTATGATCATAATGTAAATACTATAAACATGTATATATGGCATAAATAAATATATACTTAATATAGATATATCAATCAAAATAACAAAAATAATAGATTTCTCACAACTACTTTCTCATGCACATGCTAATGTGTTGTACTTTCTGTCTTTGTTTACAACTGAAAGGTCCACCACCAAGTGGTCACTTTGAGAACTCATTCCACTAAGCCCACAAATTTTGAAATACATCGCTGACAACTTGAAGTTTTTTCTTAGAAATTTTTTTTATTTTGCTTACAGATTTTGTCCATTGCATACGAAGTCCATTGGGGGGGGGGCTGTAGATGAGAGATTTGCTTGTATATTTATTTTGTAGCCTCACTCTCTCTCCCACACACACACAAATATTTGAAAAATATTAAACATTTTGTCAAATAATTGTATTTAATATTCTTCCTCTTTTAAATTTACATTGTTGTTTTAATATTCATTTTTTTTTTAAAGTTACACTTTTATTTACTATAGATGTGAAAATAAATTCAAGTTTAAATATATCTTAATTAAGCTTATTTGCTTTTTTATTAATAATAATCCTCTCCAAGATAAATAGTAAATAATTATTTTTCAAAGTAAGGCTCACTATGGTTTTTGCTTTAAAAATGATTAAATTAAATGTTCAAATATGTCTTAATTTAGTTTATTTACTTTATTTAGCTGAACACACAGACAAATATTTGAATAAAAATATATTAAACTTTTTTCAAGTAATTGTATTTAATATTCTTCTTCTTTTAAATTTACTTTTTTATTTTAATATTCATTTTTTAAAGTTACGCTTTTATTTACTATAGATGTGAAAATAAATTCAAGAGAATAGAAATTTTTAAAATACATACATGTATAACATTTTGAAAGTATCAACAGAATTGAAAAGTAAAACGAACAGTAATCCTAACTGGGAATAAGAATTATTACAGTTCGTTTTTACTTTTTAATTCTGAGAATTTTGAATGCATTCTAATGCATTTTAATTTTAAAATATCTTCGTAAATACAAATCATATGATAATTTTTTTACAAAATGCTGGCTTGGATGATAATATTTACTTTGTTGTTAATTAATATAGTGTTTTAGTTTTAGTCTGGGACACACACACAGAGACAACTGCCCTTTACATATTTATAGATATAGATGTAATAGAAATTAAATTCTATCCTTTCATCACATTAGCATGGTTACAAACAAAATTCATTTTCAAAGAAGTTAAAATGATTCCATAAAGTTAAAAAGAGATGAGAAACTTTGGTTCTAAATGTTGAAGTTATCAAGGGAGAAATTCATACTACAGTGAATGTGTTTATTTTTGTGTAGATTGATTGATTGATTTTTTTTATGGTATTTCATATAATAAAACTTTTTTTTTCTACATATATTTTCATAGCAAAGAAAAATGTTTACATTTTAATTCACATTATCTGATGTTTGTTTTCAACACTCAAAAAAAGGGTGATTCGTTTGGCAAGTTTTCTGATTTTGGAATGAACTCAAAAACTGATACTTTTGAAAATCAAACAATAAAGAAAAAATAGAAATAGAAATATATTTTAATGCCATTGTTTGTTTGACACCATTAAAGTATCCAGAATAGAAGTAAATAAATAAGTTAGACAAACAAGATGAGGGTTGAGCAGAGTAAAGAGGGGGAAAAATGTAGAGAAACAGGTGACAATGAACCTGTCTTGTAGTTGGTATGTACTCAAGAATATGCATTAGTCTTGTTTCTCACACCTCACCCTCTAACCTAACCCTCACTGACAAAGCAAACAAAACAGTAATAAAACATCTGAAAATTGATGTTTGATTAGCTGCTAAACAAACAAAAAAATAAATAAATAAATAAGAAAGCATTAAAATTGCATGGCTGTGTCAGATCAACATACTTGACCATAACAACAGCTGCTTCAGAAAGTTTCTTTTAAGATGGTCTTGCTTTTATTACCTCAAATAGATGAGGGGGGAGAGGAACATTATGTTCAGAGTAACACACAACAGGTGTTGTCATCCCTGCCGTTACTCCAACAGATATCACCGTCTTAAAGTTTCTTTGTTGGTACAGTTGAAACATTGTGTATTTTGAATATTGTACAAGTCACAAAAGGATTGTCAGAAAACTGAACATGTGTGTTAACACAATTATATGCATGCTTTGTTGATTGTTTTTGTCATTTTATAATTGGCTTTTCTTTGAATGAAAAGAATTTGATATTGTTGGTACTCTTGTATACCAAATACAAGTGCCAGCACAATTATTTTATTTAATTTCCCTCACCCCACCACAATTTGATACAATACGCTTGTTTGTTTTCAAATAATTTTCTCTGTGGCACAATTGTTTTGTTCAACATTTATTAGACTTTTATAAAAAATTCCTGTTGGAATGTTAATTTGAACCAGCACATTTATTTCAGAAGTTGAAAAATTCCCACCGATATGACTATTCCAGACAACCCATGTATTTGATATAAAAGAGTATATCACCAATCATTTGGCTGGTAATATTCATTTGAGGATTGACTATATATATATATATATATATATATATATATATATATATATATATATATATATAGCACATGTATGAGAAATGCAGAAAATGACATTTGTTTAGGAGAAAAACTTGAATAAAAAAGTTTTTATCTTCACTATACAAAATAGTACAACAGACTATGTCATTAATTATGACCCCAAAAAGTAACTTAGGTTTATTCCCATCCCCAATACACAAATGCACACTAATCTTAGATAATGTCTGTTATTTTTAATACAACTTAAGGTTTGTTGATTTTAAAACAAAACATTGATCAGAGGGAGAGAAAAAATTCAAGATGATTGTGTCCCATAAAATATTTCTCTCTTCTAAAGGGAAATTAAAAAAAAAAAAAGTTTTAAGAAATCATTGAGTTTATAAACAGAAGTTAAAAATACTGAAGAAATTATATAATGATATTGAAATTTCTTAAATGAAACATTGTATATTACCATTCATTTTTGATGGATTACTTTCATCTTAAAAAGAAAGTCAAATTAAGATAAAACATTATTGACTGTGATGTATTAATTCAATTTTTTCATGACTAAAAGAAATAAGTACAAAATTAAAATGTTATTAATCAGCTTTTGGTATATTTTGTAAGCAACAGAAAGAAAGAGGCATGAAAACTGTGTTTCGCAATATTTGAAACAGCTTTTCTCCATAAAACACATCAAGGTTTTGTTTCCAAGTTTGTTTATATTTTCATCAAGCAAAGTATATTGCATTATCACAAATGCCTGTTTTCCAATCACTGATTATTCAAGTAAACTATTTTTGGCCTAATTCTCTCAACCTCAAAATTAGTTGCTAATATAAATTTATATTAATTTTTCAACAATTAAATTTTCATTATATTAAAAAAAAAAAAAAATTCTTCGCAACCTCCTAAATAACAAGCAGGAAATTTATTTCCAATCAATCTCAAAATCAAACCTCAACAATTTAACCAGTAAAATGACTGATGAAAAAGACCCAACACCTTCACCATCAACAAGTTCTGAAGATGAAAATTTGCTAAGAGAACTCTTCAGTTCCATAGGAATCCTGAAGAATTCTTTATGAATAACATTGTGATTTGCAAAAATGTAAACTTAATTTCTATTATCAAAATTCTGCAGAGATAGAAAATTTGGACTCAACTGGCAAATCATTAAAGAATGCAACAGGAAAAGCTGTTACTATGAACAAAGAAAAAGAATCTTGATTTTAAATCAAGTGAAAATTAATACAAGATTTTCTTTTTCAGGAAAGAAAAATGAATACAAATTTCGAAACATCTACTGGAGTTACCATTTGCCAATAAATTCCAGTGATATGGTGACTGATTGTATTTTGAACTATAAAGTTTGTTTCAGCATCGTTTCTATTTGTCATGCATATTTTGCTGCAGAAACATGTTGAAGGAGTCACTCTTATTTTCATAATTTTTGTTTTCTATCAAATTTTGCATATATTTATAATTATATAAAAACTGTAAAAACAATCTCCCAATCAATAAATAAATTTCACATAAAAATTTACAAAAATGGAATCTCTTTTAGACATCCTATATATGCTTTCACAAACACACTTATTGTAGCAGCTTGTTAATCTTTTTTGTATTTCCAGCATAAATTTAAGGCTTGCATACATATTAACATCTCAGCCCATGTAGCCATAAATACTGACTTGCATTGGTTTTCAAGATATGTATATTTACAACATAAATCTTTAAGTGGAATGTATGTGTGTGTGTGTGTTTTGTTGTATACATCTCTATGAATGGCTAAGCACTTATGATAAAACACAACCCAAAGTCTAGTGTTTTGGCAAATTAGTATCAGCCGATAATTCCAGTAGCAGAGCAACAATAAGAAATAAGATGATCATGAACAAGTGATCATTTTGAAATTCACCTGCAGGCATGAAAACATCCCATAACAGTGTCATTGAAGCGCTAAGCAGATCTGTTGTCATCCAAAAGTTTGAATTTTGGTTTGCCTAAATTAAAGAGGACAATATGCTTGTTATGCATTTTTTTTAAAAATTTTGCACATATCTATGCATACAACAGATGTGTTTGGGTGGCATATGAACATTTTTTAGAATTTACTTCTCATTTTATGTGCTTTTTACTAACATATGTTGTTTAGAAAAAGTTATATATACACACACACACACACTTTGACAGGATGACAGCATGTTGTGTAGATACAATAAGGTACATTTATAGTCACAGATTTAAACTTCATCTAAACTGATTTATTTAATTCTTTCAATTTTATTCAACATACACAAAATAAAATTTTTGTGATGAATACTTAGGTATATCAAAATCAAATAAATATATAAGCAGCTTAGAAAAATGATAATTTTGTATTTGTTTATGTTTCTTATTTGTTTATCACTTATGTGAATCTAAAGTCTCATCCACGCTCTCAATCTATTTTTTTTTGTTTACTTTCATTAAAAGGATTTTGATCTGGCATATTTATGCATTTTAAATAATTGACATTTTTGTATATCCATGAAGAAAATATATTTACCTACAAACAAAAATATATGCTGGATGGTTTACCTAGCATCCTTTAAATATAGAAAGAAAACTGTTGTGCCTCCTATCTATGCATGTAGATAATTTAGATCTATATTGAATATATTTCTGCATGCAAACACCTACTTACACTCGCCTTCTGACAAAACATTGTGTATTTACAGTTCAAACAGACATCAGAATAATCAACTCAGTGACTTTGTTGGTCTAACGTCCCATTCTTAGTTAATTTTTGTTCCTTAAAACATTGTATGCTCAAGTCTTCAGTGGAGTTAGTAAAAAAAAATCTAGTAACCTTTCAAAGAGTTTGGTATTAAAGAAAAAAGAAATAAAGAAATGGTCTTGCATCACCAGAAAGTAAAAGCCTTAACACTGTCAAAGAAGACAATAGAATAGAAAATACTATGACGACAACGAAGATGTTGGTGTTAAAAATAGCATCAAGACAATAGGGTAATTTTTTTGTATGTCAAAATATTAATATGCACCAGAATGTAACACATTTACATATCACCTGTACACAAACACACACCTTATAATACTCATTTCGTTGTGCTGTGCATGTAAGCAGTCAATAGGTCTATATCTGTTCAAGGTTTAGCTGATAAATACATTTTAAGGAAGTGATTTATTTGTGTATCAATGTCATAAATATTTGCATTTGCCTATTTTGCACAGAAACCCATAAATATTTTGACTTACATTCTGCAATATATTTTGTATATTTTTAATATCTTATATGGCAGACATTGGTATAAGTGCATGTAACTAATACATTTACAGGTACCAATATTTTCAGAAAGAACCATCGTAAATGTCTTCCCAACTATTCAACCATGGATCTTAATCTCACCCCAAACTAATAATTGATCATTCTTTTTATCTCCTTAGTGGAATGTGAAATTCATCAGCTGTATTTAATCTGTGCCCATATAAATAAACGAAGGTCATTTAAAAGAAGTGCGTGCTCCATTTGGGCCCCTAATCGACGATTGTCAAGCCGCTGACAACGTTGTAAGAGACGTTCAAGGTCTCTGCTGATGTGCTCAGGGGCACCATATAAAAGGTAGTCCATTAGAAGATCGCAAACAATCTTCAGATTAGGTAAAGTCAAATCAGATGAACACTTCCCTACCTCCAGGTAGCACTGTGTCTGGCAGGCAGATGAAAACTCACAGTCTCGGTCATCATTGCAACTTCTGTTGGCCATTTCCAGTTTCAAATGAAATCTTGGCACCACAGACAAGACATCCATCAATTTAAGGTCATAAGTCACAGTGTAACCAAATGATTTTGGAAAAATATTACACATGTAGAAATTGACATCATTCTTCTCAAAAATATCCATGATGAGTTCTATCATGCCAATAGACATTTTAGCACGTTGTTTCCAGGCTGGGAACTGCCAATGGTAAGCATCCGAGAGGAATAAACTGAGCCAACTGTTACTTTTCACATTGTAAAGGCGATCATTGGGTACATGCTCAATTGCATAGACGCTACCACATGTTCCATTGATACGAGGAAAGGCATCGTTGTCCTTAAAGAGCAGCATTAAAAGGAATTCTCGATGTTGAATCAGGCTCCACAAAGATCGAGCTTCTCCATATGTCAACTGGAAAAAGAAAAGAAAAAACTGCAGTTTTCCAATCATTCAAATCTAAAGTATTTATTTTAAAAACAAGATTACACGGTTCACATAAAACAATCAGGATTTCCTGGAGCTTTTGTATTTTGGGAAATTACCAAAACAAAATGAAGTTATCTCCCCTATTCCGTAAACCCGAAGAAATGAATCAACATAGAGCTGACACTTGTTTAATGTCACGAAACTTAATATCATATTTGCTTAAAAAATAAATACATAAATTTGAAGTTTTTGTGACAATACAAGAAGCCACCATTTTTTTATATCTTTCTTTGTGATTGAAAGGAGGTAATATAGCTTTTATAGAAAACAATTTACAAAATTGCTTTCAAACAAATAATAGTAAATAAAACTTTATATTTACTGAAAATAAGAGCATAGAAAATGAAGAGATAATACAATCGTATATTAAATACTTCACCAAAATTAATAAACAGATAGAATCGTGAAATAATTTTATGTAAGTAAACATGGTTAAATATTATACGAGTAGAACAAATAAAACTAACATTAATCTGAAAATTGAATAATTTTAAATTTACAAAGAAACAATTCAGCAGTTTTTGTTGAAAAATTACTGATAAGATCATATGACTGTTTCCCTAGGATTCTACACAGTTCAAATTTTTTGGTTGATTTTGTTTAGAAGCATATCAACTTCTATGAATTATTTAATGCCAAAATCTAAATATTTTGCATGCAATTTTATGGCTTCAGCTTTGAACGCAATTTTATGCCTTCAACTACAGATATTTCATATGTAATTTTATACTTTCAGGGTAAATGTATGCCTTTTTAGATATATAGTTTGTAGATGATAAAAACATTTTAACATTTGGTATATTCACTAGACTTGGCAGCATTCTATTCTTTATCTGGTCAAAAATTTGAAGATGAATTCAATGTTCAAAATTTCATTGACAGTTTTACTGATTCAAAGCCAAAAGGATTTTATCAAAACAGAATCTGAAAACTTCCAGTATTTTAGCATAAAGTCATAGAAATCAAGGAAACTATTAATATGTGCAATAGTTATTATTAAGTAAAAATTCTGTAAACTTTTGCACACACCTAATACAAAATTTATTATTTTAAATAATCTCCCAGATTTACTGAATAAAATTTAAACATAGAAAAAAAAAAATCAGTCAGGTGAAATAAGAAAATATGTCAAATTTAATAAGCAATGAAAATCTTAGCTGTGATGAAAAATTATGATAAAAAAAAAATTAAAATTCAGTTAAAATATTCAGTTTAGAAGTTGAATTATTAACACCCAATTATTATTAAACCAGTGACAGTTACTTTATGTACAGGCTGTTCATGTTATATCACAAATAGGATTTGTTAAACAAATGCATCAAAACTTTCATTTATTCTCATGATTACATATATTGACACAGAACAGAATTAAAAGGAAAATAGGATCAAATGTTGCTATTTGTCTTAGAAAATTTTAGTACTCAATCAATAAATTGTGCATTGAAAATCAGGAAGAAAGAAATTGCCAGTGGTTAAGAATTAAGGCAAACGTTACTGAAAGGTCAAAACATTTATATGTATAATTATTTTCATTTCTTTACACACGCAAACTATATAACATGTAAATTTTATTCATAATGTGTAAACAAGTAAATCTGTCTTCTCACCACTCCATTATTGTTGAAATCTCCAAATGTTAAAATCCTCTTTAAAACAGCTGTATGGTCAGCTGGCCCAAGCTTCTCAGTGAGATGTTTGTCAATCATCATACTGAATTCCTCTTGACTGATGCCTTCCCATGGCTCCAATAAAATTGTGTCCAGCATGTTTGCTTGATCTGGGGCCATGTTAACTTTCACTATCAAATGACGCTCCCAGAAAAACTCCTGCAAAAACAGATTATTTTTCTATTTACAATACAAGCAATGATTTTAATCAAGTGACACTAAAAGAAACAATTATTTCCCTCCCATTTGATCCTGTAAATATTTGTTATATTTGTATGCAACATAAAAATATATGGCTGATCATCAAAATTATAATAAACCAATACTAGGTGGCATGTAAAGACCTAACAAAATTGAGCTTTGAGTGAATAATTCTTTGAATGGAAATAAACATGTGATATTCTTCTTTGTATTGACCATTCATATTTATTTCTCATCAGAAGAGAACAAATACTTTCAATAAAATTCATTACATTCTATGAGCATCTCTATAAGGAAGCAAAGTGGAACAAGCCAGATTATAGCTAAAACTTCTAATTATCCATATAGGTTATGCCTTTTTCTTTTTTAGTTAAGCATGTTGGCACCTCTGCTTTAACATGGTAAATTCAGCTTGCTGATTTTATTGATTGTCATCTCAAATTGAAGTCTTAGAAAAGAAAAAGAAAACTTATTTCAAGCACAATATTACCCTTCTAAACTGAATGTTCATGGTGGTCACCTGAAGAGATACATTGCAAGCTGTTATATAAGTGTTGTTAGGTGCTTATTCAAAAACAGTACAGGATGTGTGTTACAGTGTAATGGATATCAGCTCGAAATGAGAAATCAGAGAGCTGAGTTCAAGTTCTAGTCAAGTTCATTACATTTACTTATGCACAAATACCATCTATTCTCCATCCAGCTATGGGTTAAATAGAAGGATAGACTAGGTCCTGTAATCTTGGTTGGCAATCAGCCTACTGTAGAAAGTAATTGCAACCTACTGCAGGAAAGTCTTCTGCCTAGTGAATCGAAAGAGACATGATCACCCAAACATGTATCACATATGGCACAACTGACTGAAACAGTAACGCACATATTTTGATTGACTAATTTATGTAGCTGTTATATAAACAAACACAATCATATTGACATAGCAAAATGAGAGAATCTATCATTAATGTCAAAGTTGAATACAAAGAATGAATACTTCAATTATATTCTCGGGACAGAAATATCAGCCCAATTATATCAACATCTTTTGCATCATTTCATGACTGCAACTGATTAATCTAAAATATTTCTCATTATTTTGGTTACTTATTGAAAATAAATAAATAAATCTGGTATAATATATTTTATAACATTTTATAAAAGTATTTTCAAGCAAATTCAGGGAATACAACTTTGGTTAGGAAAACTGACATTAAACATTTGATCTGTCAACATGGAAGAGTAATAGTAATCTTTTTGATCTCTGAGTAAGAGAAAAAAAGAGTTAGAAATTTTGAAGTCAAGAAATAAATTCAATTTTTTTTTTTAAAAGCCAAAACACTTGGATAAGAAAATGAAAAGAAGATCATATTGATGCTTTTAAAAAAATAAATTCAATATCTTCATAAAATTATTTTTCCTATTTTTTCCTGAAAATTTGTAGTTTTTACTTAATTCAAAATGACTATTCTACTCTCAGAAATATTAAATGATTTTATTTAAAATATGATTCTACAAACCAAAAGTAGCAATCCAAAATTGACAAATCTTTGCATTACTGAATTTATGCTTTGAACAGATATACAGTTAAAAAAGAAAAAGCTCATGACTCCTGAATCTGGTAAATAACATCAGAAAACCTCATTCAATGTGGTTCACTTTAGCCATCACCATAAAAGTCTTTTGTCGTTGATAGTGACACACACAGTTTCTATGGGTATTTTGTCCCATACTCTTTGCCTTCAGAGCTTCAATATTGTGGTGTGGAGTAGAACAGGCCTCACTCTCAAGAACAGACCTCAGACAATAGTCAAGAGCATTAATATCTGGTGATGGGGGAGGTCATTTGTCCTTGATGTACAATTGTCTCTGCACCACTGCTGTGTTACATGAGCAGTATGGCTCATCCTTTCGTCTTGTTGAAGTGTCCAATATTCATCACCATTAGTGGCATTGCACCACAGCTTGAGTACACCTTCCAAGATGTTCTCTATGTACACTCTCCTGTTAATCTTTACCCCTTGAGGCACGAAAACAAGAGGAGACTTTCCTCTTTCTGAAATGGCTGCCCAGACCATAACTGATGCTGGTTTCTGGGTTCTGAGGCATTTTTCTGAAGTGACAGGAATTCACTGATGACTTGTTGAAAGAATAAGATCATTTTGATGATCAAAAGTCTCTTCAACAGTGAACAGTTTCTCATGAGTGAAGATGATGTTTTGTAGCGTGCCATCACGAATCCATTTCAGCAACTGCTTACTTATTTGAAGCCACCTTTTTATTGTGGCTGCTAAAAGAAGTTGTCTTTTGGTCAACTTGTAGAGCAACATCCCAGATCATTTTGACACATCCTCCACATGGTTTACTCTGAAGTTCCAGCCTCCTTAACTAATTTTCTCATTGACCTTCTTGGATTACACCCAATTTTTTCACATACCTGTTTAATGAGTTTTGGCATCCTGGAAGTGTGAGGATGTCTATCTTTGTTGGAGTAAGTATTGTATCAATCGATAGTCCTTTTGATAAGCATTCTATTGATTACAAGTTGTTTTCCAGCTTTAAAAATCCATTATGTACTTTCTTTTAATTTCTATAGACATTATTGCCAGTAAATACTAAAACACTATGAAAAAACAAATAGTATACATTGTTAAGCAAGTATCAAACCATAAATAACAATGTAATGACAAAAATTTAGAAGTAGAATTCATTTGAAATTTTGTAATAACATTTATGCCACACCTATAGTAGAACAACAGTATTAAAAGTTTTAAGAGATAACATTTGTACAAGATATCATAGTTTTCTATGTACATGTAAATTGGAAAATTATACAATTTGGAAACCACATGTGTATATAGGATTATTAACAAAAATTGCTTAGCCTCCCTTGAAATTGCTCCACAGGTATACCTCAGGCACCAAAGATTCATCCTGACCCTCTCCATATTTGTGTAATGCATAGGTGCTATTCAATAGAATGACATGCTAGAAATGGTTGGGTTGGTTTGTAAAAGTAAATTATAAAAGTATGCAAGAACTGACCTTAACATGCGATTGCTGCTTGATGCAATGTGAAAAGATGGGGACATTTTCTTTACACAATGGGTAACAGAGCTTCCCTGACACCACACCTTCTTCATAAAGTTGACACTGAAACAAAGAATGTTTCAAGTAAGCAATAATCAGAATAGATTTGACAAGCTTAATTGATTTCAATGTGCACCATGTATGTCCTGGCAAATTGCCAAACATCATCTTGAATTTTGGAAGTTGTTTAATATAAACTTTGTACTATGGAATATAGAAGTTATATGGTGAGGACTTTTGAATAAACTGTTTTGGTAGGAGAGAGAGAGAGAAAGAGAAGCACTAAAAGAAATCTGAATGGTCATCTTGATAAAAAGGCTTTTTTATTCTGAAATTACAGATGATAATGAGATGGACACTTAAGGCAACTCAGAAAAGTAATATTCTACAATTGAAATTTGTCATAAATCTAATAACCATTTAATTTCCTGGAAAATCCATCAAGATCCTGGTTCTCAACATTGCAGTGATTAATAATTTTCGGAATGGATCAATGATGGTTCCATTACATTTAACAAGAAAATTAGGATAAATTGACAGGGGCATTTTTGGATAAGTGCTATTTCTCAAAGAGTTTTAAATTAATTTTTTTTTTTTTCTATTTTAACATAATTCTGAGCAAAGCAACTAAGGTGATGAAGATGTTCTGCATGTTAATCCTAATCTGTCCATCAACTTAAAAACTCAATCCTTCTGGTTAAGTCAGGGTTAAATTTAATCCTTTATTACTCCAATCACTATTTTAAAGATCTTGGTAAAAAATTTTAAAAAAATTAAAAAATGTTGAAATATATATGTCACAATGAGTATTTATAGCTAGGGACAACTCTATCTGTAAGAGTAAAGAGTTCAGGTAACAGAACTGAACAAATATAGCATGACAAAAATATGTCATAATACCGTATAATTCTTTAAAATTAAAATGTTTTCAAGCATATATAAATTCATGAATGGAAAAACGATTATATATATTATTCCTTCATTCTGTATTTTTTAAAATATTCCAATGTAACAAGGAATTTCCACAGGTTCTGCTACTTCAGACAAAAGTATTTAAAAATAATGTTTAATATTTTTACCACTAAAATTAGGTAATTGTTTATACTTGAAAAGAATTAGTAATTACTAGACCACCCATAAATCTGTTGGGTTCCTTTTAAAAGCGGTTTGTGATACAAAATGATGAGGTAACAATATTATCAATTTTATTATTAATTACAAATATTTTAATTTTTATTTGCAATACAAGTTATTGCAATAATAATTATTACTCACATTATACAATATTACTTATAATAAATTAATAAATGGAAAGGTTTTTAAAATGTGAAAAAATGCAGTCCTTGATCCACAGAACAGAAAAAAAAATGACAAAACTTTCATTGAAATAAATGTAATAGTTGTAACAATTCATATATTTTCTTAATGAAATTAAGTTGTAAATTCAGTTATCAAACAAGATTTACCACCAAAATGGATGCTTTCTTTTTTCCTGACAATGAAAGCGAAAAGTCAACACACCCTGTTTTAAAACATTTTTCAAAAATCAGGGAATTATCCAATTCAAGCAAAATTGTCAGGACTTATTCATTAATGAATGTATATTTTACTGAATAAGTTATTTTATTAAAAAACCTTGGAGAAATATTGAGGGAGGTTATGTTTCACACCCACATAGCCTCTTCACCTATCAAGTACTTGCCAAACATTTATTTGTTGATAAAAGTTCTAACAGAGTAGCGAATTGTATAAATATATGTCATGTTATGTATATTTAAATTTATTTAATAATGTTGTTATAATGTATTATGAATGTTTATTATTTTTCACATGCACAATAGTTGGAATATAATATGCAAGTATTTGTTTATATATGACATATGTATTGAAAACAAATACCAAATTTCCTATTAAAAATGCTGTAAAAACAAAAAAATGACCCTAGCTCAACAATCACTGGTCTAATTTTAATGAAATTTGGCACTGACACTGGGCAGGGGCTCAAGGTACAATATGCTCCTAAGTTGGTTGGAGTATTACATATTGTTTAAACATACATACAAGATTAGTATTTTAGTATGATATAGTTAAAGGAGTGAGTGAGCCAAAGATGTCACATTTAGAGAAAATTCCAATTTCCAAAAGCCAATGTCATTATAGTAAGATCATCCCTACATGTATAAAAAAAAGAAAGAAAATTCTTGAAGAAGAAGATGCAGAGAATGATCAATCAGATATTAAAGGAGAAAAATACTTACCAAACTCTTCTTAATAACTCTTCCACTGCAAGGATCGTAGAAAGCAACTATCATAAATATGAAGGATAAGAGGAGGATAACAGAGAATATGGTGTATGCAATCATGGCCTTCCTGCTTACACCAAGTGTTTTCTGATGGAGAAAAAAGAAAAATAGAATTTGAGGGTTCCATTATTCATTAGATCAGAGTTAAAATAATTTATCTCAATGAATCTAAAGTCAAAAACAAATCTTATAACAAAAAAGAAAAAAAAAGATTTTATGAGAAAAAGAAATAAATCAAAATGAGTAAGTCATGTGATACACTTTCAAAATATTCATTTTTTCATGAAATGAGCTAATATTTTTAAACAGGTTACAAAATCCTAAAACATTTTATTTTTATCAAATCAAAAACCTTGTTTCTTTGAAGTCACATTATTTATTCTCCTCAACTAATCTGTTTTTGTTTATTCTAGTTGGCAATTGAAGACTTTCTAGATAAGAAAAAATATTTGAGATAGTATAGACTATGAAAGCAAAGTTTGGTAAATGAGATAAAAATAAATAGATCAATCAAATAAATGCAATGAATAATAAAGTTTATATTTTGTGTCTAAAAAACAAAAAAGATAACATTCATTAAAACATATTCTCATCTCATTATAGATAGAATATGAAAGTTAATCCAAAATACTTACATTTTGCTCATACATTACACTTGATGAAGTTAAGATTTTAGTGGCAAAAAGAAAAAGCTTTTACATTTGTAATGAGCAAACTTTTTAACTAAGTTTCAACAACTCAGTCACAGAAATGAGAATTGGTTGAGTTCATTGTGAGAAGACTTAGCTAAAAAAGTTACCTAGATGCTTGATTGAATAACTTTTCTATTGAAAATTTATAATTTTTAAAAGAAATATAATAATATATATTGTGTGCAAAATATAGAATAGAAACAGTAAGATTTTATTCTGTAATTAATTTTTTTTTTCCAAGATACAAAGTTTTATGAAAAAAAAAAGATAAATGTAAGCTTGAGACTTATTTAGCAATAAAAAGTACAAAATTTCACATGCAGCAACTTAATAACAGAAATAAAAAAAGGGGATTAAAAATAAATGGGCTGGCATCTCAGACTGCAGAAATTGTAATTTTCACATGAGAAAATATTAGCCAAATAATGAAACTTAATTTTTGACAGAATAACTTTTTAAATCAGAAAAAAATCGTGCTCAGCTTTGAGGTGTTCTGAGTGATTTGACATGCACAAGAATCAAGAAATTAAGTCAGAAGAAAATGTTCATTCAAAACATTATCAAATAGACACCATACACTTTCTCTTATACGGACTGATTTTAAGCTTTTATTGTTAATAAACCTTATTTTTATTTACATTATTCAGACTGTTATTCTCGTCTTCATAACATTTCGGATGTTGTACACTCCAGCCTTCTTCAGAGGACACATGGCCCAGTGGATAAAGACATTGGTTAGATCCAGTGACTAGACCCAAAGAATTGCAAGTTCAATACCAGGCCACAGCAGTGGTGAACCAAACTTGGAGATTTGAATTAAAGGGAAATAACTGAGACATCCAGAAGAGGCATGGCACGTGGAACTAGAACAATCTACCCTGGTGGATGAAATAAAGGGGTTTGGTTCGAAATTCTAATCAGCTGAAGAAGGCTGAAGTGTACAACGGCTGAAACGTTGTGAATATGGCAATGAAGATGAGGATAACAGTCTGAATAACGTAAATAATGTAAGTAATCATAATACCTCATGTCAGAGATATAGACAGATGCCTTATTTTAAAATTGACAGTTCAGTCATTAAAATTTAATACCTACACAGTCTTTTTTTTTAATCTTAAAACAGTTATAAAATATATGTATACTTAATTTTCATAAAAGGATTTTAAAATAAATCCAATCTGTTACAAAATAAAAATAAATTTGGTACACAATATTTATTCAAACTCACATAAAACAAATAACATAATCATATAAAAAAAAACAAAAAAAAACAGCCTTTTCCAAATTCATTTCAACATCCACTTTTTTATTTAATGTGTGGGTGCTGAAAAGTTCTAAGCTTGACTCACTTCCCAAAGGCTAACTAAATCAAATATCAGCATTTATTTTAATGTCTTCTTGGTCAAGTTGAGAACTTTTCAACACCCCTTCATATAATCTTTAATCTGTAAATGACATGAAAATTTTCAAATGATGTTTAACATTAAAGAAAAATGAACACTTATGTATCTCAAAATTAGCAACTATTAAAGTCGGGGAATATTTATCAAGAGAAGATAGATTTTATAAAATGTACATTTAAAGCAGAGTACTATTGTATACAAAGGCAGCAGTAGACTTATTCAGAGAGACTTGTACAAAAAATAAATGGCTCAATATAATCCTACCTGTAGATTTCTGAGTTTATTTAGCAATAGAACAGCTGGAGTCATCCACAGTAAAGTTTAGGTCACAAATGCATGAGGTGTGTTGTCTTACATCTGTGACTTTGGTAGGCTTTGAGAGTAGCACTTATCACAGAGTCCACCAATAGAAAACTTGTGCCACTGATAATGATGAAAAGATCATCTAAAATGACCTTACAACCTAATTTCCTTCATCTTTTACCCTCAGTATAGATCACATTTCCTTCATGGATTCACATTAGTGAATGGCTCATAACACAAAATAATAAAAAATAAATGGAGCATATTTTTATTTATGTTTTTTTATTTTTTTTATTTACATATTTTTTGAGTGGAGAGTGACTTGCTTATACTTACAATCTATAAATAGATGTTTTATATTTGCATATAATGTATACTTTAGACGTGTGTACAGAAAACTAGTGAAAACAAAAATACACTTATTCTTTATGTTGAAATTATTTCATTTATTTACAGATTTTTATATCTACTTATCCAACATTGCACTTTGACTTTTACCAAAATTAACATGTTATTTCCTCAAGTACATAAAAAAAGGTAAATGAAAAACACTTTTAAAGTGAACAATGTGCACTTCAAATATTGGATAACTAGGATTTAAAATGAATGAATTCCAATTCAGTAAGAAATCAAATATTTCCAGAACATTAACAAGACGTCAAAACAAAGGTACAAAAACTATGTAATTGTGGCTTCAAGGTTACATCGAATGATTGAATGCGTCTGTGCATACACAGGCATATTTTATGAGTCAAGCAAAGTCTTTATGTTGTTAAAATAAAAATCAGATGTTCTCATGACATCTTACAACAAGAAAAAAGCCTCAACAATTAACAGAGAATAAAGAGATTTTATTGTAAAGTCTGATGCACTTTTGCATGGACAAATATTATCACCAAAAGATCCTCAAATAAAAATGAGCTATATAAGATGGATTCTATTTTTTATTATTTATAGAATTAAAAATTAGCTATAAAATAACATACAAATTGACATATAATAGCTTTACACACACACGCACAAACATAGATGTATGCATGTATGTTAGGTAATTGAATGACAAAGTGGAAACCTTAAGAACATTGTTTTAGTCCAATCAAATCCTTTTAGAGAACTAAATACATTACATAGAACTTTCTCTATATTTTATATACTACCATATATACTTACATATCATGCAACTTTTGAAGATCTAATTTTGAAGCTAAGTTTAAGGGGGTCACATCATACACAAGATATAAAATTAGTGTGTGTGCTGCTGGCCCTGGCTACACTGTTGACCAAACTGTATATACATTTACTGTAGTCAAATTAGCTTCAAAATTAGGTTTTCAAAGGTCGCATGATACATGAGTGTGTGTGTGTGTATATATATATATATATATATTAGAGAGAGAATAGTAATAAATTTCATATAATGTATGAAAGGAATCAGTGAGAAAATGTTTTATCTTAATAGGCTAATTGTCTATTATGGTTGATCATGAGCCGTTCTAGAATGGTTCATGATCAGACATTCGTTGTCTGTTATATTTAACAATGTTTTTTTTTATATATATATATATATATATATATATATATATATATATATATATATATATATATATATATATATATATATATATATATATATAAAACCTGCAGAGAAATACTGAGATCTTTTCATCAGTTGACTGATAAACATGCAACCCATTCCCAATTCTGTTGATTCTGCAAAGTGAGAGCAAGATATTGAATTTGAGAAATGTTCAGGTGATGAAATTGAACTTCCAATCACTCATCCTTATCAAAAAGTTGACAATGGGTAAAACAACATTTATTGTAGCTGCCTAAACAGAAAAAATAGGATTGCCAACAATTGTAGCATATCAGTGATAAGACGTTTGTCAAAATATTTGGCAATATGACAGATTATCAGAAAGAAGTGGATTCCTATTTTTCCCAAAGTCACTTGTACAATGAACACAATTAGTCTTACCTGAAATTAAAACCATTTGCCAATTCTATTTTCTGTGCTAATCATTAGTATAACTAGTATAACCACAAATTAGGAATTGTAATTCATCATAACAAAAAATCAGACTCATGAAATATAAGTAATGACATCATTTTAAAAAAATTAAATTTTACCTCAGATTTTAAAAATGATATGAAAAAATGAATTTTCATGTAACAGCTGTTTGAGGTTTCCTATAGCCCCACTGAACTTAAAGTCAATTCAGGTTTGCTATGGTAAAAATTTTCTATCCCAAGTAAAAATCATCACAAAAATGGCAAAAGTCATTTTGTCACAGCTTACTTTCTCTGAAAAAATGGATTTTCATACTTTCTTTTATAGGAGTAAAATTAACTTATTGCAATTAATATTTTCATTGTCTTTTATCATCATCTAAACAAATATCAAGGAAACTTTTGATCTGAACTCCATGAAACTAGGTATTTTCTGAAAGCAAAGGATATATTGGCTGGTGTAAATGACTCAAAATGTTTTTTCAGGGGGTAAAATGTGAAAAAATAGTGAAAATTTTTCATTTTTTTTTTTTTTTTTTTAGTTCTAAACAAAATTTTTCCCCATTAATGGGAATTTAACCATTTTTTTTTTTGAAAAGCAGAGAGCCTAGATCATAATCAAACTATTTCAGGCATAAAATTGAGTTTTGAAGGAAATCAACATTCCTAGGGGGTTAAA